TGGAGCTAGAGAGTATTATGCTAAGTGAAATAAGAGAAATACAAATACCATATAATTTCACTCATGAGGAATTTAAGAAACAAAACAAACGAACATGAGGGGGGAAAGGCAAAAAACCAAGAAACAGACTCTTAACTGTAGAGAACAAACTGATGGTTACCAGAGAGGAGGTGGGTGGGGGGATAGGTTAAATAGGTGATGGGCATTAAGGAATGTACTTGTGATAAGCACTGAGTGTTGTGTGGAAGTGTTGAATCACTACATTATACACCTGAAGCTAATATACACTTTATTTAACTAACTGGAATTTAAGTAACTTTTTAACTTTCTTTTTAAAAAAAAGTAAGCCATAGCTCCACTTCTTGTAGTTTTGATTGTGAGTGGCAGAAAAGGTGTCCCTAAAGGGATCTGCTTAGGGAAGGAGTCTCTCTTCATGTCTTTCCATTTTTCTATATCATTTTGTTCTTTTTTTCTCTTATCCTCCTTTTTCTTTCTCTCTCCTTTAATCATAGTTGGGGAGAAGTACACATTTTGCTGCATTGATTTGCTGAGGAGAAAGAGTGAGCAGGCCATGTGCTTAGATGGAAATGTCACGGAGAGCAAAGAACACAGACTCTAAATTAAGAGTTGGGAAATTTTTTCTGTAAAGGGCCAGGTGGTATTTATTTTAGGATTTGCAAGCCGTACAGTCTCTTAAAACTACTCAGCTCTGCTGTTGTACTGCAAAAACAGCCATAGACAATACTTAAATTAATGACCTTGGTTATGTTGTAATAAGACTTTCGGTCCCTGAAATTTGATTTTCATATAATTTCTGCATGTCACAAAATATTTTTTTTCTGACTTTGTCAACCATTTAAAATTGTGAAAACCATTTTTATCTTGGGGGCTACAAAAACCAGGTGACAGGCTAGATTTGGCCCACAAGCTAAGATTTGGTGATTCCCATTATATAGGGATTAACCTTGCACAACTTATTTATAAAAATGTCATTATTCGTGTACACATTCCCAACATAGAGTCCTTTTATATGCTCTAAATTAGATGGGGATACAGAATTGTAGAGATAATTCAGGGTATCATTGGTGTGAGTAAAGAAGAAAAATGTTTAATATGGTTGGTTCCACTGATAACATGGAGGTTCTGGCATGGCCTCCTTTCAGTCCTGTCTCATCTGGGTAGCTGCTATTTCTAGGTCTTGGGCAGAGAAGCAGACTGAATAGAGAGGGGCCTACTTTCCTCTGTCTGGTATTAAATCTCCCCTTAGTGGTATGAAAAACCCCAGTTTTGAGTCAAGCCTGGGCTCAAATCTCTTATTAGATGTGTGACTTGTTACGTAACTGCTCTGAACATCAGCAGAATGATGGTTTCTATAGCTAATTCATAGACTTATGAGGATCTTAGTAATAATCATAACAGTAATAGCAGCTAACACATGGTGTTTACTAGATGCCAGGCAGTGTTCTAACTACTTTATATATAACTCATTTAATTCTTTCACAGCCATGATAATCGTTATGTATACCATCACTTTAATGATGAATCTGAGACACAGAAATGTTAAGTAACTCATTCAAGGTCACATAGTTAAGTGGCAGAGCCAACATGTGAACTTGGAAGTCTGGCTTCAGAGTGCAAGCTCTTAGTAGGGTTTACAGTCTTCTAAAGTGGGAACATCTATAGCACATAGGTTCTCAGGAAATTACAGATACATTAACTTTACAGAATATTGTGGTATCTTCTTCAAAAAGCTTGGTGTACTTGTGGGATTGCGGATATGCATAAATATGAGATTCAAATTTTGATTTTTCAGAGTTTTTGCTTTTTTTTTCAGTTACATATTATTTATGGGACTTTTTTTCCTTTAGGAGTTTTTAGTACTGTTATTGTTAATTATTTTGAAATGAATCACTTTCTGTGAGACAATATGGTGGAAATGACTTAGACTCCAGAGCCAAAAGACCCCTGACTCCTGTTCTTGTCCTGATTCTGTATTTTCCTTCGTGTGATCTTGAGTACATGATTTTACTCTTTCAGTTCTGTCTCTTTTAGCTGTGAACTGAAGATAATCCTCCTCATGGGATTCAAATGAGATAACCTATGCCAGAGTGCCTAGCAATATGTCTAGTATGTTACCAGACACTCAAACACTAGTACTGTGTTTGCCTATCTATTACATAGAATAACCTAAACTTTAGAACTGAAAGATGGGAAAACTGAGGCTCAGAGAATTACTTGTTTAGGATCATACAGGTTATTAGAGGCAGAAGGAGCTGTCACTTAATGCAGGTCTGCTAATTTCTCAGTCTTGTCTTATTTTTACTGTTTACACTCCTTTATGCATTACATACAGAAGCATTATGTAATATGATGGGTTTTGGGGGGATTTTTCTTAGGACAAAACCTGACATTCTTACGAAGAAAATAACTAGTGTTTGGTATTTTGAATTTTGATAATTTATCATTAAAAAGTCATATGGACAATTTAGTAAGCTTTGAGGTTATTCAAATCATGTATTTGTTTATATGCCAAACTAGTGTTTGGTATTTTGAATTTTGATAATCATTAAAAAGTCATATGGACAATTTGGTAAGCCTTGAGGCTATTCAAATCAAAATGTTAATACATTTTCTCCATATTTATTTTTAATATGCAAGTAGCATGTTTATTATAGAAAAAATAGAAGCAGAAACATTGAGGAATTTTTAAAAAACCCATTCAGTCACATCGGTTAGAGAAAATGTTAACACTTTGAAGTAAAAGTAGCCTCATCTTACATATACAACTTTGTAACTGATTTTTTATCAGTTAGTGATAAATGAGGAAGACTATTCCCTGCCAAATTCAGATGTTGGTAATTTTTATTTAGTCCATTCTGTGAATGGTTATCAGTTCATTTAAGTAATCCCCTATTGTTGGCATGACATTTTTTCCAGATTTCATAGAAACAGTGTATTTTTGCAAAATTGTCCAATTATTGTCACTTGATCTCTGATTTGTATGATTCATTCTCTTAATTTTTAAGACTTGATATATGTTCATAATTTTTCTACAGAGTAGATATATAGTCCATTGACATTTTCTTTCTAGAAAGCCACTGTATTTCGGGATAGGATGGTTTTATTAATCTCCCATTCTTTAGTAAAGGATAGTAACATATGGTATAAATCTTCCAGATTCTTCTCTTTGTTTACATGTTGTCACTTTAATATTTTGCATAGTGATATATCTGGAATAATCTTTAATTTTCAAAAGTTGGATTGTTTATAGCTACATGTAGTAAAATAACTATTAAGTGATGCCCATGCAATTTTTAAGTGTGTTTTCTAGGGTTGTTTTTTTTTTTTCTCTCTGCATGCATGGATTTGCATGGAACATTTGAAAAATAGAAGCATCAGAATGAATTGAATGTTTCAGAATTACAGTTGACCCTTGAACAACATAGGTTTGAATTGTGTGGGTTTTTTTAAATAGATATATAAACTACGTATTGATAAATCCAGTACAGTACTGTAAATATATTTTGTCTTTCTTAAGATATATTTTCTTTTCTCTAGCTCACTTTAATGTAAGAATATAGTATATAATACATATAACATATGAAAGTGTTAATCACCTTTTTATGTTATTGGGAAGGCTCTGGTCGATGGTAGGCTATTTGTAGTTAAGGGGAATCTAAAGTAATATGCAGATTTTCAACTATACAAGGGGGTGGCACCCCTAATGCCACCATTGTTCAAGGGTTAATTGTGCTAGTCTGTGTCACTTACCTTGATAGATTAGAGACAAAGTTCTGCTTTTGAGACAAAATTGGACTTAATTAATATGTCCCTTATCTACTACTCATTTGCCTTCTTGTTCAGTTTCTCATGATTAACAATACATATCTCACAAATAACAAGATGTGAACTCTATTGCCACCTGCCATTTAGTCTTACATGTTAGTAAGATAATTGTAGGAACATTTTGAGAATCAAGTAAATTTTTTAAATAGTTTTGATCCTTTGTAGTTTTTATTCCTGTGCATGTGAATTTGAGACCAAAAGGAATAGCTATGAATTAATGTTTCTTTGGATCCAGTAGACTACTTTCTTTAAGTTATGGTAATCTCAAATCATCAGACAGTAGAAGCATAGATTTTAGAGTTGAATAAACCATAGAGATAGATATTGTAGCCCAGCTTCTTGCTTGATGAAATAATCTCTTCTTCAGTATCTTTAGAAGCTCTGCTGGAACAGCCAGTTAAGAACATGAATCTACATATTTTAGGTTCATAACATAGTGAAACATAAGATTTTACCCTAAGGGAACTTAAAATATTCTGTGTTCCTATGACATGGGATTAATGAGCAAGTTCAGTGACATGTTTTGGGTTCAAGATTGTATGCTCAGAATCATTTTCTTGCAGTATAACACACTTTGGAGATTACATTTATAAGTTTATTTTTAAATCTCCCGTATGGTAGGTAATTGGAGAAAAAACTTTCTTTCCAGATAGAAGTTCTGTGTTAACTATAAATCAAGTATTTACAAACTATTAAAACAAAATAGTAATTATATAAAGGGAAGTTGGATTGATACCTTAACTTGACTCTCATTTTCTTAATGTTAGTTTTTTTAAATGATAAAATAATAAAACTCTTGGCCATAAACCTTGTGATTTTCATCTGTTGTACTAAATAATTTAAGCACATATACCATCAAACAAGTTTTTTTCTCCCTTTTTTTAAACCAAAGAAAAGCATATTTTATTTCAGCAATGATTTTGATAAGCTTTGCTGTTCTTTATCATAGTATCTTAGGCAGTATTTTATCAAACATTTCACTAGTTAAAAGTTTATATAAACAGTGGATCTTCATTTTCTACACTCATCTTAATACGCAAATTTGTTACTTTAGTGCTTAACTGACTTGCCTTGCCTTAAGATCTGTTGAGCTTTTTACATGAGAGCTATACTAATCTTAATCACTGTGCTTATTGTTTGAATGTTTGCTACAGGAAGCGAGCAGCTGCAAAGCATCTAATAGAACGCTACTACCACCAGTTAACTGAGGGCTGTGGAAATGAGGCCTGCACGAATGAGTTTTGTGCTTCCTGTCCAACTTTTCTTCGTATGGATAACAATGCAGCAGCTATTAAAGCCCTCGAGCTCTATAAGATTAATGCAAAACTCTGTGATCCTCATCCCTCCAAGAAAGGAGCAAGCTCAGCTTACCTTGAAAACTCGAAAGGTGCCCCTAACAACTCCTGCTCTGACATAAAAATGAACAAGAAGGAAGGACAAGGAGCAAGAGATGATTTTAGAGGTAAGATGTTCTATTTTTAATTGAGAATTTTTGACTGAAAACCAGATTGGAGATTTAAATAAAATGCGTGAGGTTTTTGTTTGTTTTGTCTAATTGTGTGACATTAGGATATGGTAGTATAGTGGTATTTATTTACCACTCTATTTATTTGTTTATTGTGGTAAAGGACAGCACTAATAATTGAAGTTATGATTTAACAACATTTTAGTGTTCTAATAGTCCCTAGTTAGAAGCAGATTATATTCCAAAAGTTCCTTTGTTAATGGATTGATTGAAGTTTTGAACGTTTTCCACTAGGAAAAACGTATTAAGTGGTAATCTCCTAAACTAGACCACAAAATCTAATTAAATTATCAAATAGCTGGACTGAATATGTGGAATGAATTGTGGAACCCCTAGCACTATGAGGTGAAAGAAGCAGAAAGAAGTGTTGGTAGTCTTTTCCATTTCTGAGGGCAAAGCAAAATTTTGTAGCCATTACTTGAGAAATAATTCAGTTTTTCTTTCTAATATTCTTCCCATATTCTGCTCAGTTTCTTCTAGGCATTTGGCACACTCATGCTGCCAAGAATCATCATCACCTACCAATGGCAGTCTTCACCTAAGCCCTTGTTTTCTAAATGATCCTGTAATCCAAATTGTTTAAAATATATATTATATATATATATGTATTTTTTAATCTTCAAATCCAAGCTTTCTTTTCCTCAGTGAAGATAATCAGTGTTAGTAACAAGGTAATTGAATTTCTGAATAACTGACAGGGCTCAGCCCTACCAGAGGAATTGTATTTTAAAAGAGGAAGCTTTTTGTTTAAGACATGGATAAGTTAGAGAACACCTCTGAAGTTTTCAGTAGCATGATTTAAATGCAGATTTAGTTTAATTGGTGACATGGAATTGTGTTATATCTTTTACTCTAACCTCACAGTAAAGGTGTTTTCATAACTTGATAACTTTACACAGCTTCAAAATGTGTGGTTCTGTTAACATGATTTAGCTCACACACTGTGGATAAGTAGGTGAATGTTGTCCTTATCTGTAATGGGAAGTTGCATTGACTCCATTAAATACATTTCTCCAGCAGGTGTGCACCACAGAGTAATAGCTACTAAATGTAGAATGTGCTGGTGCAGTTGAATGCAGCCAGCTATAGGGGATTATAGTAGAGGGTGGATGGACACATCTTTTTGTCTATGTGCTTCATCATAGGTGCTTATTGAGTGGTTATTCCCAGTCTTTGTTTCCTATTTTTGGTCAAGTCTGTGTAATTTAGCAGTTCCTTCTGCTTTCTTCCAATGTGCTACTCTGTTCTACTCCCTTTTTTCTGTAATTTTCTATTTACTGTAGTATTTTTTCTACTAGGAATTACAAATGCTTTACACTAGTACTTTTATTGTTAATTATATTTTTTGGTTCTCATTACAAAAGTGTATATGTGTTGAATAGTCTGCTGCAAACTGTTTTTTGCGTAAAAATTTTGTTAAGTGTAAAATTTTGTAGACTAAGTATATTTTCAGGAACATACATACATTATAGAATATACAGATATACCATAGAGGACTGTTTCTTCATTTAACATTTTCTCAGTAGAACATCTCTTTTTATTGATAAACATTGTGAATGTTTGTGTCTTAAATTTTAATGTTCTTTAATTTATGTCTGAAAAACTCAGTTCAACATTTTAAACAAAACACTAGGGAATGTATTGGTGCATTTTATATGGAATTAGAATGTCAGAATCACTTGAAAGCATTCTGAACAGACGTCAACAAAGGGTGTCTGGGTCTAGAGTGTTGCTGTCCCTTAAGATAGGTCATGTTACTCATGAAAAACAACTTTTTGTTTATTAAGTTTATGACTTGATTTAGGAAGCAGAGTGTTTTGTGTCTTAACAAGATAGTTACTTATAATTATTTACTCTTTTGGTTACATTTTAGGAAATAAGGGGTTTTTTATTGTCTTGTAAGAAGGTGTTATAATTTTTTCCAGTTAAAATAATGGGAAATAAGCTCCCAGTTAGCAGTTTCACACTTTTCAGGAAGAGATTACTGATGTTTAGCAGAAGATGTCTATACAGTTTCCCCTACTATCCGAAAGTAGAGCATTTCTATGAAACTTTCATGAGACAAAATGGCATACACAGTGAAGAAGCAATTACCATTACTTTATAAGGAAAACATTTTGAGGTTCCTTATCCAAAAAAAAAAGCCTCTCTCAGGCTTTTCTGATACCTTAGGACACATCTTGCTAATGGATGTACAAAATGAATTGAGATAAACACAGACGCCCACAGACACAGTTCAAAACTATGGTGACTTGAGGCTGAGATGCTGAGTGTAATTGCTGGGGAAGGAGATTGTCAGTGCCACTCTTACTCCTCAGAGTATATGTTGCCTCTGTAATGGCTTGCAGTAAAACAAACACTAAATGCTTTTTTGCTTTTTAACTTTCTTACTATAAGTGAAGTAGCCTAGTGGGAACTTTCGAAAAGCAAGGGATACCTACATATCGTAATAGAACAAATCTAAAGATTAACTCTTAAAGAGTTAAAGCCTATAAAAGAAGCTATAGATGTTGACAGTCTGGTAGCAGCGGCCAAAGATCAGATTCATGGTTTGGTAAAATTTGGTATTTTTGTGGTTGAACTTACACAGCTGTTCATTTAATGATCATTTGCATGTTATCTTTTACTGTGAGACAAACATTAAAAGAGGTAGAAATCATATTAAGAAATTTTATATGTTGTACAGTACATGTATATAAGTCTGTCACAGTGAAGATTGAATTACCTCTGTGTCTCTAAAATTATCCTCTGCTTAATTTAAGTATTTGTTGACAGGCCTGCCACTTCCTTAATAGATTAAGACTTTTGTCAGTATTATAGTGTATTATATTTGACCAATATAATCTCCATAAAATTAATAGACAAAATATATCATTTGTTCTCTTTCCTGTAAAATAATGTATCTGAATAATTTATTCAAAATGCAAAGACTATTTGGGGTGCTCCATTTTTATTTCTTCCACAATTTGATGGTGTTTTTATTGGCCTATATAGCACTGTCTTATGGAAAATGGTCTTGAAATATTAGTAAACATTGTTTTTTATTTTTTAATTTGAAGGACAGTATTTTATCATTTGTAGAGACATGTATAGCTTTTGCTTAGATAATTTGAAGACGGTATTAGCTTATTTTATATACTAATAAAAGCTAGGAGATTCTTTTGTTGTACTCAAAATATGAGTTAATCATGTTTGACCCCATTTATCAGGAAAATAAACCCTCAGAAGTTCATCAGTGGACTTCCACTTAGGTAATCGGCAGACCTGTGCCACATGTCATCCCTCAGGTGCAAATGAGGATTAGAATACGAGTGTTTAGTTTTTACAGTTTCTGTTGTGATGGCATGTCAGAGAAGAGGGGGTGAATAAATTTGGAGTTAGCCAGCCTACAATGTCTGTCCAGATATATTAGAGAGTTGGAGGAAGACCAGAGTTTCATAAGATCACCTTTTAGATAACTAAATGATTAATAATTAATTCTAGTTTGGAGTTAGAAGTAATCTCAGTAGAAATTTTAAGTTGGCATATTCATGTGAACTAAACTAGTATTAACTCAGGACACAAAACTCTTGGGGTACTATCCAGCATTGTTTGTAGACATTTTTTTTATCCGTTGAAAATTATATCCTTTAGTCAGTCATTAATGGTTTCATATCCTTTTAGTAATTGGTTAGTCTTACCTGTCTACCAACATTTGAATACTTTCAGCAATAGCAGACATGTGTGATAGTCCTTAGGGATCAAAAAAACCACACATGTACATATAAATAACATGGAACTTTCAAGTTTTTGAATTATCTTTGCCCAGAGCATTCATTCTGCCTTTAGCTATTAGAACAGGTAATATCATTGATTTGTAAAGTGAAATTCAATTATCTAATGTTTAAAGGATATTTTCACTTCTTTTATTAATGAGGTTGTTCGACTATAGGGTCAGAATATTTTTATTTCTGTATTTTTATTTGAAATACAATCATGTTCTTGTTTGAATATTAAAAGTTTATTTTATTCTCAGTTACCTGATATTCATGCAAGTCATAAGAGAAAAATAGTGTCGAAGTATATTTCTCAGCTTTGGTAAGGTGAAATTTTGTGATTATTTAGCTTATCTCAGATTGTAAGGGAGAAAATGAAGGGTGGGTTGTTTTTGTTTTTCTTTTTCTTTTGAGAATAGATCATGAGAGTTGAGTACATGAGAGCTAAGCTAATTTTAATTATAAAATTTTTTTTCTTCTTTTTTTAAATTGAAATTCATACTAAGTACCAGGGAGTTTATTATTTGAGGTGTTGAATCTATGAGTTGTCAATTGTATGATTCTCCAAGCATTGAGATTTACTACTCCTTGAGTTGGAATGTTTTACATGGTTTTCCTCTTTAATCACTGTATTCAGTGCTATGAAAAAGTTAAATGTTATGAAAGCTCAGATTAAACTGCATGAAATAAATTAACATTTGAGTAGAAGGTGACAACTTGGAGTTTTAGAAAACAGCATGTTAAAATTCTTTTTGTGTGTGTGTGAGTAAGCAAAGCATAAGAGAGGGAACACACATGGAGTTTTTCTTTATTCTAATGTGTTTCATCCAGTGGCATTCCCTTTTGGGAGTGGAATGCTTATGCATTCCATAACCTCCAAATTTACTCTTCATTCCTCTCAACAGGATATACGTATAGATTTAAATTTTGTTGGTGAAGAGAATTAGAGCCATATGTTTATCTGGTTTTTGTCTGAAAGGGAATAATGGCAAATATAAAAAGAGCAAATATAAAAGTGTTTAAAAAGGTGATAATGGAGGTCTAAGCTACTATTTCGAGACAGATGTGAGAGGGAAGTAAACTGCATGCCAGCAAACTGCTATACTCTTTCACCCCTGAAGTAGTAATTGGCTCCAGAGATTTTTACCTCAAAAATCCTTGAAATGTTCTTTCCGTTTTTGTTTCTTCTGTGATTTCATTAAAATTTCAACTTGTTAACATTACTATAACTCTGAAAATGTGTAATAAATTGATATTTGGTTTGGCCTTTCATTGCCTCCTGTCATTTTTGCCTCTTACAGGGCTATTTCTTTATGGGGGAGAATGGATGTAATAGAAAAACATAATAAAAACTCCCTTGGATTTAAATAATACAGACTGCAAAAATAATAGTAATAAGTTGTAAAAACAGTCAGCTTATCTTATAAAATTTTTATTACCAGGAAAGTACCAAGAAGGATTAAGCATAATTTAGACAGTCTACTGGTATTTTAAAGACTTTGAAGGCAAGGTGGGGAAAGGTGAGAAGTTTCTTTCTATATTAGTAAGGATCAACTATACTGCAATATTAAGTACATACCAGAAAGCACTAGCTTATTAAACAAGTAGGAATTTATTTCTAGCTCATCTAAAAGCCGTGATATTCTGGGTTGGCTTCTAAGTTCTGCTTCACATAATCATTCAGAAATGGTGCTGTAGGGTGCCTGGGAGGCTCAGTCGTTAAGCGTCTGCCTTCAGTTCAGGTCATGGTCCCAGGGTCCTGGGATGGAGCCCCACATCAGGCTCCCTGCTCGGCGGGAAACCTGCTTCTCTCTCTCTCCTACTCCCCCTGCTTGTGTTCCCTCTCTCACTGTGTCTCTCTCTGTCAAATAAATAAAATCTTAAAAAAAAAAAAAAGAAAGAAAGAAATGGTGCTGTAGTGACATTGTTAGCTTCAACACATGGCTTCCAGAGCATCCTGGGAGCATCATCCCATTAGCAAGAAGGAAAAGCCTTGGCCTGAAAGTAGCACTTAACCTTAAAAACGGGAAAGCTGGGAGATGTGGTCCAAATCTGCCCAGAAAGGAGAGGAAAAAGATTTTGGTGACTACATAGTAATCTGTTTCACTTGTCTGCTATAAGTTGTCTTCTACTATATTTTGTATTACTCTCTATTTCCTGTTTATTCCAACCTGATTCCTGGCTACAGATGGCAGTGTTTGTCAACTTCAGATCTCATGAGAAATGGTATAGTAAAGTTTTCAGTCACCCACAGAATGACCACCCTGGAAAAAACTAAAAAGGAAGACTCAGAAGGAACCAATTTGATTTTAAGATACATAAAAGTAAGACAAGGGCTTTTTCCCAGAGGATGCTGAAGGAACCTTTCTTGCCTTCCTCAGTCTTTTGAGAAGAGTAGTGAAATAAGAAAGAAACATCTCAGAAGAACAGTAGTGTTTCTGCTCTAAAGTGAAGGTGTAAGAGGTGTATTGTGATGAATCAAATCAGCACATGATTGTCTTCGTTCATATTTATAAATTAAAGCTACATGTTAATTTCCACTATGATTGTGAGAAGAGTTTGAGCTCCTTAAAAGCTACATATTATTGAAAGAATGTAAAAGAATGGGTGAGGTTGTTGCAATTAATAGTTCATTGACAAAAATAAGTATATATATTTTGTTGACTCTAAGTATTAGGTATGTTTTAAAAAGAGTTGTAAGTCAAATGGTATTGAGTACAAAATGGCTGTTCTACTTTACACTAGAACTTAAGACAAACTAAACATACTTACAAATGATCTCCTTTTTTCTTCTCTAATTTTCTAGATGTGACTTACCTAACAGAAGAGACGGTATATGAAATTCTTGAATTATGTAGAGAGAGAGAGGATTATTCCCCTTTAATCCGTGTTATTGGAAGAGTTTTTTCTAGTGCTGAGGCATTGGTACAGAGCTTTCGGAAAGTCAAACAACACACCAAGGAAGAACTGAAATCTCTTCAAGGAAAGGATGAAGACAAAGATGAGGATGAAAAGGAAAAAGCTGCATGTTCTGCTGCTGCTATGGAAGAAGATTCAGAAGCATCTTCTTCAAGGATAAGTGATAGTTCACAAGGAGATAACAACTTACAAAAATTAGGCCCTGATGATGTGTCTGTGGATATTGAGGCCATTAGAAGGGTCTATACCAGATTACTCTCTAATGAAAAAATAGAAACTGCTTTTCTCAATGCACTTGTGTATTTGTCACCTAATGTGGAATGTGACTTGACGTATCACAATGTATACTCTCGAGATCCTAATTATCTGAATTTATTCATTATTGTAATGGAGAATAGAAATCTCCACAGTCCTGAATATCTGGAAATGGCTTTGCCATTATTTTGCAAAGCAATGAGTAAGCTACCCCTTGCAGCCCAAGGAAAATTGGTTAGACTGTGGTCTAAATACAGTGCAGACCAGATTCGTAGAATGATGGAAACATTTCAGCAACTTATTACTTACAAAGTCATAAGCAATGAATTTAACAGTCGGAATCTAGTGAATGACGATGATGCTATTGTTGCTGCTTCAAAGTGCTTGAAAATGGTTTACTATGCAAATGTAGTGGGTGGGGAAGTGGACACAAATCATAATGAAGAGGATGATGAAGAGCCCATCCCTGAGTCCAGTGAATTGACACTTCAGGAGCTTTTGGGAGAGGAAAGAAGAAATAAGAAAGGTCCTCGAGTGGACCCACTGGAAACTGAACTTGGTGTTAAAACTCTGGATTGCCGAAAACCACTTATCCCTTTTGAAGAGTTTATTAATGAACCACTGAATGATGTTCTAGAAATGGATAAAGATTATACTTTTTTCAAAGTAGAAACAGAGAACAAATTCTCTTTCATGACATGTCCCTTTATATTGAATGCTGTCACAAAGAATTTGGGATTATATTATGACAATAGAATTCGCATGTACAGTGAACGAAGAATCACTGTTCTCTACAGCTTAGTTCAAGGACAGCAGTTGAATCCGTATTTGAGACTCAAAGTCAGACGTGACCATATCATAGATGATGCACTTGTCCGGGTAAGTTGGGCTTATGCTTAAAAATTGGTACTAGAATAAATACCTAATATTGGGGAGATTGTAATACAGTTCAGTGAATTCATTTTATAAGTAACTGTTTGAAAAAAAATATGGCATATGGTATAGGAATATATGGATGTTTTTGTATTATAAGTTGTAAATATTATACTTTTGTTGTTCCTGTCCAAATTTATAAATGTGTTCCACAAAGTATTGGTTGTCTTGAATAATGATCACTCTGTCTTTGAAAAATAATAGATTTTCTAAATATTGACACCTAACCCCAAAAGTTTCAAGTGGATGTTGGGAAAAGACCGGAGCACAGGAGCAAGGGCATGTGGAGGTACCCAGTAATAAGTATGAATATCAAATCTTAACTGGGAGGAGTGGTACAATAAAATCATACCATAAAATAATAAGTGGTGTCCAAAACTTGCATGATATAAAATTTAGAGTTGCATTATCATGAAGGTGAAGTGATCTGGGCAGTTTGGTGAGTGCAGCTAATAAGAGTTCCTGCTGGATCACTCAAAATGCCCCTGTAGAACACTGCCTGATTGTGATATTTTCTTCCCACTTAAATATATTGGAGTTGGTTGGAACTACTAGGAAAACAGCAGCCATTCCAGGAATCTTGAAATTAATGGTGCTTTGTATCATCAACCCAATCCAGGGAGATTGAGCTGGGAGAATATTGGGAACACAAGGGGTACCCACCTTCTAACTTACTGTTTCTCCAGATTGGCTGCCTTTTGTTAATTCCTTGCCTCCACAGAAAATAAGAATTTTAGTGCCCCCATTTAAGAATGCAGGCCTGGCCAGAAAGACATAAACCAATTGCCAGTCATGTACCAAAATTTGCATTTGTCCTACGATGCTTTATCACAGGTTGTTTGTGTGTGTGTTTTTAAGGTTTTATTTTTAAGCAATCTCTACACCCAACGTAGGTTTTGAACTCAAAATCCCAAGATGAAGAGTCCCATGCTGTAACCAGCCAGGCACAGCCCCCTTTATTACAGTGTTTTATTGTATTCATGATACTACGTAAACCCATCATTACTAGTTCCTTTTTTTTTTTTAACAACTTCAAGTAAAATTTGATGTCAAGTAAAATTAAGATACAGTCAACCTTCCATACTAATAAAAGATAAGAACCCACGACACAACTAAGAAATAGTGATACTTACTTTAAAGTATATTTTAGTTTTAGGATAGATTTGTCTATTCATAAAACTGTAAACCAGTGGAAAAAGTTGTTTGACATCTCAGAAATTTAAAAGTTGCAGAAATTGTGTGCCTCTTCTGTTTGTTACTGGTTTTTAAAAACACCACATATATTTCTAGTGTTGAGGAAAGAGTCTACATTATTTAAGCAACTCAAGCAGTTTTTCAACAGAGGCAGAATGAGGCATTAATTATTTGGAGTAATTATCATTTTTTGGTTTCTGGTGCTCTTTTTATTTTACTCTCTTAGTTTTGAGCTACATAAATAATTAATAATAACTGTTCGTCAGGCAGCCAGCAACTTACTTTACGTAGGTTAGCAGAATGATAGGGTATCATATAAGGATGTGAGTGATGTTTTGTGAAAAGTACATTGAGGTCTATCTGTGAATTTTGATTGTTAGAGCAGAACTGCAAATCCTAAGACCATACATTTTATGTTTGGCTTCTTGGGTTGGGATCCTTTCATCTGTTTCCAATAAAAGCTATGCCTACCTTTAAAAAAGCAATGAAATTACTCTCTATAAGATTAATCCAGAGTTAGAAATAAAAAAAATTATCCACCTTCCTTATCTGCCTTCAGCTAAGAAATCTACCCAACCTTATTTTGCTTCTCCTGCCTTATTTCCCACCTTGCTTAGTAAAGCAAGGCTAAGAAGCAACGAAAGTTTAAGTACTTGTTGTATACTTATTTTATCATTTAGAATTTTGAGGAAACAGTCATTTCGGTTTATAAGGCCTTTTTTTAAAGTGGGTTTTAGAGTAAAACTGTGAACTTCTTAATTATACTGACAGAGTAGTTTTTTTTAGTGGGTTCTGCTTAATTCTGTCAAACCTGAATATTATAATTTGACCAGTTTTAAATCAGGATTCACTAGATAATATCTGTACTTGAATATTACCAGTCCACAAAAGCAGTTTGCTTCAGAAATCTTGTGTGAGGCACTTTGTTAAGCAGTAGAGATGTAAAGGTGAATTATGACCACTGAAAAGCTTAGGGGTGCTAAATGTTCATACTAAACAAATTTTACTCTTTCCTTTTTTCTTTTATTTTTTTAAATAACAATGTGAAAAGGTTAGAAAAATTAAAACATCAAAATAGCCTTGTGAGTCAGTCAAATTGATACTTTTTAAAAAAAAATATTCATGGTGGTGTGATTATGATAAAGTCATAGTATTTTAGTAACAAAAAGTAGAAGGTTTACTTACAACAAGAAGTAGTTTAAGGTCATCCTCTCAGCCAAACTCTCAAAAGTACTGATGGATTTTTAACATCTTACTCCTCAAGGATCTACTTTGCTTTTTTAAAGCCTTTTTATTCTATAACAGTTTGGCAAACAAAATAAACGTATTGACTGCTTTTTATGACCTGCTAATTTGAACTACAGAGTAGGGTTGGGAAGAGAAGAGGAGATGAGAATTGTGGTGAGCTCAATATTAATAATTAAATAATTAAAGTTATAGAATTGTAGACTTTAAGAGCTAAAAGGAGCCTTGGAGTTCATCTACTCATTAGTTTACAAATGAGGCCCAGAAAATAGTGACTACATATATGACACTCTTGAGTATGTATTCTATTAGGTCCTATTGTAAGGCTGACTGGCATGGTGGAGAAGGGAGGAGTAGTACCTTCCATTAATAATTACAGATTTTTTTTTTTTTTTAAGAAAACTATGTTCCTCATTTTCATGTACCATGTAATTCGAATCAGACTAGCAAATTATTTCCTAACTGGAATTTTTAGAGTAACTGGGTTTTGTTTGTTTTAAAGATTTATTTATGAGAGAGAGAGAGAGAAAAAGAGCATGAGTGGGAGGGGCAGAGGGGAAGGGAAAGAATCTCAAGTGGACTCCACACACAGCCCAATGCAGGGCTTGAGATCACCACTTGAGCCCAGACTAAGAGTTGAACCCTTAACCAGCTGTGCCACCCAGGCGCCCCTAGAGGAACTGTCTTTGATGCCAGCTGAAGAATTAGTGTTTACAATATTTTATTGAAACTTAGATATGTTGATTGTAGGACACACTATTATTTTCTTACTACTTTTAGTAATAGGAAAAAATGCTGGCCAGTTATGTTGTGAAATGCTACCAGTTTTATGGTATATCCTGATTTCAGAGATGTTAAAATGTGAAAACAGAGAAATGAATTGTAGAATCAATGAAATATGGTAAACTATAAGTTGCCTTTTCACAAATAGGTGTCTCAGAATCATTCAAGAACTACCCCACACTTGTAAATTATTGCAGTATTTCTCCCTAGGACTTATTTTCACTATTTGTTGTTGTTTCTTAGAAAATAGTACTGTGATACTCATGAGCTCACTTGAATTAAAACAATCGAACCGTGATAAGGCTTTTACAGTATTTTACTAATAACATTTGTCTATTTGTGTATTCTTTTAAAAGTAGATAATTTGTCATTTTTCTTAGACATAGCATTTCCAAAGGAAAAGGGTATGAAAAATTTTTTTCATTATTTTTATTTTAGGAGATTATGTTAGGAGAGGATGAGTATTATTGAAGACAATATTGCCATCTGTGACATACCCCAAACTGCCTTCACATCTGAACGGGAAATATGTTTTTAAAAAAATTCCAAGGTTCTACCTTCTAGAGATTCAGTGTAGGAGTTCTGGTGTAGAGCCTAGGAATTATATTTCTGGTAGTGCCCCCAAATACTCTGATAAAGCCAGACTGCAAACCAGTTTCAGGAAGATGGTTTGGTACAGTTTATATATCCACATTTATTGAGGCCATTTTTATATACAAGTGCATGTTTAGGAAACCGGCAGTCTTTGAGAGGATGATGAAAACAGCAGGTTTAGAATAAGGATTGTTGGTGGTGGGCGACTTGGTTCAGATTAGTCAGGGAATCCTAGAATTCTAAATAGGGATCTAAAGACTGAAAGGAAAGCTTGAAATGGATAACTGTATAGGAGAGTCCAAAAATATGAACTAGTATAGGATAAGGTCCAAAAATATGAACTGGAACAGATCAAGGTGATAGACACAAATGAATAGCCCTACTACCAATTGGTCCTGCTCAATCCCCTTTAAAAAATTGAAATCATTTTTTTTCTGGGCTCTAACAGTGCTCTATATCCCAGTCCCCACCATTTTCCTTGGCAAACACCCTTTGTTATTATTGAAATAAAACTTGATTCTTTTATTTAACAATTGACCTACAGTGCTTTAAGAATAAGATTATCCTGTGCTGCCCTGAGTATGATTAATTGTATCTTGTACATTCACTGTATTGTGCTTAATGCAATGACCGTTATTGTTTTTTGTAGTTTATTTGAAATGAAGAACTTCATGCCTAATTTATGTCCTCAAAGGAGATTAAGAGAATGAGGTAGATCTACTTAGATTCTCATTATCATATAATTAAAACAATGAAATTGTCAAACTCCTTAGCTCTATATGTGAGAAAAAAGAAACTCAGAGAGATTCTGGCCTATAGAAATTAATGGCAGAATTGGAAGTAGAATTCAGGGTTCCTGGTCTCACAAGCAGATGTGATTATATGATATGGCTGTTACCCAAGCATCTAAACTTTATTTGTAAGATATAAAAAACTGCTTCATCTGTTTTTAGAGAAATGAAAAAAAATAAATATATCTGGATAATCTAAAGATCTTATTCTAGCCAGTAGCTTAAAGGTATAAACGAAGTGTTTATAACCGTAGAGTGTAGTAAGTTGACTGAAGTTGCTTAAGCCAGCCATTCTTAGAGAGCCTAGGTATTCTTTTTTTTTTAATAATTTTTATTGTTATGTTAATCACCATACATTACATCATTAGTTTTTGATGTAGTGTTCCATGATTCATTGTTTGTGCATAACACCCAGTGCTCCACGCAGAACGTGCCCCCCTCAACACCCATCACCAGGCTAACCCATCCCCCCACCCCCCTCCCCTCTAGAACCCTCAGTCTGTTTTTCAGAGTCCATCGTCTCTAATGGTTCGTCTCCCCCTCCAACTTACCCCCCTTCATTCTTCCCCTCCTGCTATCTTCTTCTTCTTCTTTTTTTCTTAACATATATTGCATTATTTGTTTCAGAAGTACAGATCTGTGATTCAACAGTCTTGCACAATTCACAGCGCTCACCATAGCACAAACCCTCCCCAATGTCTATCACCCAGCCACCCCATCCCTCCCACCCCCCACCACTCCAGCAACCCTCAGTTTGTTTCCTGAGATTAAGAATTCCTCATATCAGTGAGGTCATATGATACATGTCTTTCTCTGACTGACTTATTTCACTCAGCATAACACCCTCCAGTTCCATCCACGTCGTTGCAAATGGCAAGATCTCATTCCTTTTGATGGCTGCATAATATTCCATTGTGTATATATACCACATCTTCTTTATCCATTCATCTGTTGATGGACATCTTGGCTCTTTCCACAGTTTGAGAGCCTAGGTATTCTTAAGTATTAGCAAGGTCTATTTTATGTGACTACTACTTCTACTTAGATATCTGTACCATTAAGGAATTTTTTTTCAATTATGGATAAAGATGACTTTATCATGAGTAATAGTAGCCCAGAATACTATAAGATTTTAAAGGATGGGTTTTCCTTTTGACTCTTGTAAATCTGGCAAGTATGATATTTTTATATTAAGATGTCATCCTACCTAGGTATTCTGGGAATGCTTTGATACTAGATCACTTTTTTAAAAAATGATCTCTCTAGGATTTCATCATCATGGCCAATTAAAAGTTCAGAAATTGAAAATCGTTTTGTCCAACAATTGATGAAATCAAGAGTCTTAGTAAGAAGAGGAAGTCATATAAGGAAGAGGTAGATGTCATTACATCCAGTCTATTTTTGTTTATTTTTCCCCAGCAGTCTGTCTTTTGCAAGTCTCCATATTAAATTAATATACCCTCCTTTAAGAAAATCTATATATAAAAATACAGGTCTATATACTAAATGATTTCAGTTCAAGGATGCATACAAATTCTCCTTTTCAGAATGAATGTTCACTGACATAGTCTTTTAAGTTTCCAAATATCCTGCTGCATTCAAGACAGCTTTTGATTTTCAAAATTCTGTTTTAAATGGTATATATGTATTACAGAAAGTGATAACACCTTTACCGTTCAATTCTTAAATCATTCTCTAATTGAACAATGGGTCAGAAGTAATTGTTTTAAGAAAAATAAATGCGGTCCGTTACTTAATAATGGCCTTTGTCAAAATGATAACTGGTAAATTTTATGTTACAATTAAAAGTAAAAATTGTTTTTTAAAGGTAGGCTACCTATGTATATATAAATGATAAAAGTATTACAGAACCACTTAATATATACCTGAGAATGATAATCTAAAATAGATAATAATGGAAAATTTTTACCTGCAGAGTTCAGTTGCTACCTATTTTTCAAATCATTCTTTTTAACATATTTGCATTTGACCTCCTGATTCTAAAATACATGTTTATTATAAAAAAATAATAAAAATACAGAAAAGCATAAGGAAGAAAATAATAGTTACTCAAATAACTACAAAATATATTTAATAACATTTAATTATGTGTACATTTATTATGTTCACAATTTATTATGTGTACATAATAATATATAAAAATATAAACAGTAAATCTCAAAAAAGATTATTGCTAGTTACTGAGGAGAGCAGGAAGGCATAGTAGTTAAGAGCTTGCTGCCTGGATTAGAACTCTGTTCTACCATTTACTAATACTGAAAGCAAGTTATTGAATCTCTCATTACTTTGGGGTCTTCATCTGTAAAATGGGGTTATTATTACCAGCCACATAAGGTTGTTGTGAAAATGAAGTGAATTGTTGTATGTAAAGGGCTTAGAATAGTCCCCTGCACATAAGTGCTATATTATTATTGTTATTGTTACTGAAACATTTTTTTCTGTAATGTCTGGGTTTGGTTTTCAGGCAAGCCTGAAAAAATTTTTAGTACAAGTTAAAGTAACAATAACAACAAAAGCTAGTACTTAGAAGGCATTATTGTACAGGGAATTCATCTAAGTGCTTCACGTGTATTTATTTCTTCTTAATACATCATTCTCATTTTATAGATGAAACTAACAAAGAAAGCTATATGTTTACAATTGTAATTATAGAACATTGCATTGAATTATTTTGGCCCTCAGGGTGGGGAGCAGAGTGGAGATTGGTGGAGATGGACAGACAGTAATATTTAATATTAAGAATGAAGATAAATTTGTTTCAGTGTCATATAAAGTGTCTCTGGTGGAGCTAAGACTGCAACACATGGTCTCTGAATCCTGTAGAAACAACACCAAATCCTTTAAAAGATACAATCACATTGATAATGGAGTCTGCTCTCATTTATGAATGTTAAAGAGGAAGAACTATAGGAAGCATATTTAAATACCAGATAATCATTTTTTTCACCTTGGAATGCATTATACTTTTGATATAAGCAGGTTTGTCTTTGTGTTATAAGGGCATATATAAACATTGACTCATATTCCTTTAACACCTAGGCAGGTGGGAACTGGAAGAAGGAAACTAGGAATGCGTTCCATGGCAATATAGGATGTTGGCGTGATGGGTAAACCACATTGGAGCTGATAATTCTAATTCAGTTCTCAGCATTCTTTATTTTCTGTGGCTTGAAACAGGTTTCCAACTGGGACTATTTTTCCCCAAGGTTATTTTCAAAACTTGGGACAAGGCTATAAAACCAAATTGTGAATCTTTTGTTCAAAGATAAAGTTGTTTTAAAAGGTTCCAACATGATGTGTTATCTTAATATTGCCCACTCTAGAACACTTTGCTATATATTTTTATTAAGCCTTCACATCTTTTCAGTATGGAGAGTACTATTCCTTTTTTTTCTTTGCAGATGAGGAAACTGAGGCTTACCTGAGTCGCTTGCTAAAATTTAAAGTTTAAAAGTGAAGTGATAGTTGGAACTAGTACAGAGTATTCTCAGTCTCCACAACACTCTGTCACAAAAATGAGTTACCCTAATACAACTTGGCGTAAAAATGATTTTGTAAATATTAGAGACCATTGTTGTACAGGACATTTTTTAAAGCTAAAGATTCTAAAGTCACAGAATTACAGAATCCAAAAGTTGAAGATATCTAAGAGATCATTTCAGCCTTTGTTCCTAAAACCTTTTTGACTGTAGTCCCAAGTAAGATATTTTGCATAGCATTAGGTACACACATGCATATCTGTCTGTACATATAATTGAAATAGAAGTTTCATAAAACAGTAGATGCCATTACTATGTGGAATACATTCTTTTTCCTCTCATTGTTGGTTTTAAACCACTAAATGAATTGGGCTACCCACTAATGAGGTTCAGTTGGCAGTTTGAAAAACATTGATCTAGGGCAACTGACTTGATTTATGAATTCATGAGATTTTATTTTATTTTTTATAGATCTGCTAGAATGTCCAAACCAGTGCTATTACCTAAAGTCATTACTTTAGGACTGTAGTACAGTTACTTTGTTGATGTTTGAATTGCTCAAAATCATTTTTAAAATTCTAGTTGGACTAGTTGGAGTAACAAACACCCTTAAATATTGTTTTGGCAAATTTAGAAAATTTTTAACAGCCAAATGGCATTTAAAGTCAGTGTAACAAGGTGGGTGATCAATAGGCATGCTGTTACTAAATATCAGATACAATTAAAAAAATGCAGTGTAATTATTTCACATTAGAATCTAGTGTGGATTTTCTGATTAATCTCTTAATGACTGAGATCAGTTACTATTTATGTTATTCTATAGATACAAAAAAATATCTGGTAAAGATTTATAGTTAAAAAAATGCTAGATACTAGAGTTTGATAACTGTTAGTAAGAAATTAAGAGTAAGGATATGAGCAAGCGTATGTCTCATCTGCTCTCAAAAAAAAGTGTATATGAGATGTGTTGTGATCCATTAAGAAGTGGCAATTTATAATAAGCATTATAAGAGACCATAAATGGTTTCCCTGTTTATTCAGTGTGTTTTTTCTCTTAATTGAAATTATTTTATTTATGGCTGAATGGATTAATAAGACCTAATTCCTTAGTTTCTATTCTATTAAACATAACTACTAGTGAACAAATTTGAAGTCAAACTTTTATACTCCATTGTCTTTGTTGAAATGATTTAGTTTGAGTTCACTTATGTATTTGGCTGTCTTGACTTCTTTCCATATCCTAACCTTACAGCCCAGGTTTGTTATACAGAAGTAACAAAAAAATCTAGTTTTAATTTTCTACTATATGTTAATTTCATCACAAATCAGTAGTTAGAAAGTAACCTTTTATAAATCTATGCTGGTTTCTTTACTGTCCTATTTTTCCATTATCTGTGAGACTGAATCTTTGCCTTTACTGGCTTTTTACCAGTTTGCTTCCTGTTTCCATTTAAAACAGACCAAAAGTCAGTATTTTTTATTTGCTCCATAGCCCTACTCCTTGTTTTTATTTTTTGCTTCTCATTTTTATTTTGCTTTCATCCTTAAACTGGCAGTCATCTTCTTTTCACTTTATCTTTTCACTCATTGTAGCTAGAGATGATCGCTATGGAAAATCCTGCAGACTTGAAGAAACAGTTGTATGTGGAATTTGAAGGAGAACAAGGAGTTGATGAGGGAGGTGTTTCCAAAGAATTTTTTCAGCTGGTTGTGGAGGAAATCTTCAATCCAGATATTGGTAAATATTTTAGTGATATCATGATGTCATATCTTTCTGAATTAAGGATTTGTTTACCAGTGTTTACAAATACTGTTATGAAGAACAGTTAATAGGGTTTGGTATGACTTTCCTAGAATCACAGATATTGACTGAATTTGTGGGTTTGGGGGACTGATATGCATCACTTATTTATTCAAGTTCTTATTTAGATTACTTAGCCAAATATTTTACTACAGGAAATTACCTCTTAGGTAAATAAATTGAAAACACTTCAGAATGGTACATTAGAACAATTGAAAGATTTCTTTGCTCTTTTTACTCTAAACATTCATCAAACTCACAGCATTTCTGAAATAAGAGTTTCATACAACAGTGTCTAAAAGAATATTGAGAATGTCTCAGAAGTGTATCCTGCTCAAAGTTTGGAAACCCTCACTGGTATCAAATTAATTAGGTTTTTATTTGATACAGGATTTCATGGGGCTTAATATTACAGTATTTTCCCAAACTTTTTGAACTCCAGAACCCTTTTTCCACCCCACATCTAATAACATTTGCCTCCCAGAAATGTTTTTTATTGAACAGTTTGGGAAAAACATCTACATATGTCAGTCTGAAAGTGAAGAATTTGAGTTTTACTGATAGACAAAGTAGATAGAGTAGAACCGGTAAAAGACTGCAGCTTCTTGGATTGTATTCTTAACTGGGTAGTTCTGAACTGATTTGAGTTTCTATAATATAACCACTGACTTGGTTACTAGGTTTGCTTATTTTTAAAACTGAATGCATGACATTTACAGGAAAAGGATTCCACTAAAGGTACTGTCAGAATTGTGAAGAATGTGACATAGAATAATGCATATATCATTTCCATTAAGCTTTGAGAATTGAGCTTGTTGATTCTCAGTGTATACATTGAATTGACTTTTCTGTTATTCTTAGTTGGTCATATATATACATTTATGTAAATGAAAGTAGACATTTTGAGTTCATAACAAATATAGTTAAGACTATTTTAGCTAATGTTTATTAATCAGAAGCCTATGTAATTTGCATATAATTTGTTCAAAGTAAATCAAGACACCTAAAACCATGCCTTTTTTGTGATTGAAAGTTAATTTGTGAGCTTCTTAGGTTTGGTAAACCTTAGCTCTGGGTTCCCTTGTGTCTCGACACGTTAAACATTAGCTGTAAAGCATACTTACATACATACATGCTTATACGCAGAAATACTTTTAAGAGAAAAACATACATTTAATAATTCCACTTGATAGTAAGGTAATTGAAATGATAGCAGTTAAAACTATCAAAAATGAGTATTTTAGAAGAGCCACTCTATGGTGCATTTCTTCCAGGGACTGGCAAAACTGTGCCCAAAATGGAATCACTTTGAGCCTTAAAATTATCTTTCATACACAGAGATGAGAGTAATGACCTCTGTAATTTATATTCTGATTAATTTGTAGTTTATTGCTCTTGAGACCAAAGACATAAATTTGTGAGATTTCATCAAATTTATTAATTGTAACTATCTTCAACTATTCTTAACTCTTTTAATAACATATTTACAACTGAATGAAGTTTTTACCACTTCAATAAATCTTGTAACTTGGGCCTGTAAAAAAAGTTTAGATCTGAACTGAGATTCAGGTAAGAATTGGATAATTTTCAAACTTTTATTTCATGAACATTAACTTTCATTAAATAAAGGTCCTACCTTACTTCATACTCTTATGATCCAAGGAACATTTTACAGTTCCTTTTGTATTTAACTTAAACTAAATGTGAAAATAAACATTATTAAAGCTTTCAAAAATCATATAAATTGATGTATTTATGTGTCATATTGATTTCTAAAGTTCGTTCTATTTGGACATTGCCCCTTTTTTTCAGAACTAATTCTCAAAATACTTTCATTGAGTTGCACAGTTGCAACTGAAAAACATTTTAGCAAAGTAAGAAAAGTCATAAATTCGTAAAATACCATGTAACCTTTTCCTTAGATATTTAAAAGATATGTAACCTTTTCCTTAGATATTTGTCTAAAGGGAAGAAGATAATTCTGCCTTAGTAATGGTATTCAGATAGGTAAAGTCAAACATTCCTAGTTTTTAAAATGAATGATACAAGAAAGATCTCTAAGCTTGGGTTTTGAATAGTGAAGACCATGTGAAATTGAAATAAGACTACAAATGCAAACTACTTTTGTTTTATTTATTGGCTCACGATGTGTGTATTAAATAGCTTTGGGTTTTGGCTGTAATCTGTCTTCATCAAATTTATTTAAGCTTATGTACTTGGCTTCATCTGACTTTGTTGTTTGAAAGGTGCTAGAAAAACTTCATGGGATCATTGTGCAGTTTTGAAAAGACAAAAACTTTTCTTTGAAATTCAGAATTGTTTTTTGAAATCAGCACAGGTAGATTAAACATGTTTTAATGTTTTTATAAAGCTTTTTTTTTCTTTGGTTTTGCATTTATTTTCATCCATTCAGCAGATAAAGTATCAATACAAACTAAGTTATCATTTGTATTAGTAGAAGATTAGGGAAATTTAATGAACGTTTTCCCTAACTTCTTAGAAAATGCAACCAAAATTGCTTATTGCTTTGTTTCTGTGGCTTCTTAACATGACATACTACCATTTTCCACGATTTATAACAATCATGTATATTTGAACTTTGGTCTCTCAAGTGTTAATGTAATAGAGAAAAAAAATTTGTACACCTACTACCTATAAATTTGTGTAGTTATATTTATATTCATCAGTCTTTAATAAAATATAAAAGTAATATATTTTTTAAAATCATTTTTTATAGGTATGTTCACATATGATGAATCTACAAAATTGTTTTGGTTTAATCCATCCTCTTTTGAAACTGAGGGTCAGTTCACTCTGATTGGCATAGTCCTGGGTCTGGCTATTTACAATAACTGTATACTGGATGTACATTTTCCCATGGTTGTCTACAGGAAGCTAATGGGGAAAAAAGGAACTTTTCGTGACCTGGGAGATTCTCACCCTGTAAGTCTGTAATTTTTTATTTGATGTTTAGATTTTATTTAAAAGCAGAACTAAAGTTTAATTTATGTAAAAAAATTAAAGTTTTCATTTGGAATCATTTTTGTTTGTTAATATTTATACCTACTAAGATAAAGCTGTTTTAATCTGTTAAAGTACCATGAACACTTAAAAAACTCAAAGGGGGAATTTAGTATAACTGTCAGCAAGCAGGTTTTGTAGGATTGATTCTGTAGAAAAGGGTTTTTAAACATGTCATTTTGGTTTTTGGGGTTTTGGGTTTTTTTGTTTGTTTTTTAATGAAACCACATGAGATTGCCAGGTGAAATCAAAGCTGCTCGATAAGGGGTTTGGTAGCTACAGTTAATGTGTCTGTTTCTGTCTCCAACGCCTCTGTCACTGTGAGACACCTGAGGTTCTCTCATAGAGCACAGTAAAATCCATTGCTACATTGACACTGTGGTTTTCTCAGCAGAGAACTGGACAGACCAGTAACTCTCAGTCTTTCTGTATTGTAAACTATTTGGGGGACAGAGAGGATACTTTCTATGCTTTAGTTCTTATTGTCAATTTTTTTTTTCCCCCCAAGAAGCCACCGTCATATTCCGTAGTTTCTTCTAGTGCTTGGAAATCTAGATTCTTGTTTACTAAGAAGAGGGATACAAACTGTTGTATTTTATAGTTCTATGGTAACCTAATTTTTTATTTCTGGTTGTTAGGTCTTATATCAGAGTTTAAAAGATTTATTGGAATATGAAGGGAATGTGGAAGATGACATGATGATCACTTTCCAGATATCTCAGACAGACCTCTTTGGTAATCCCATGATGTATGATTTAAAGGAAAATGGTGATAAAATTCCAATTACAAATGAAAACAGGAAGGTAATAAGTGTTTTTAATATCATCATTGCCTTTGTCTCTTTATTAACAGAGTTTTAAAGCGTATATTCTTGTAATTTTTAAAGAAGTATCTAAAATACTTCATACAAAAACTCAAGTAATCAAGTAATCAAATTCTTATAAATGAAATAGCCACAGTTTTCAAAATCTTGGATATGAGCTGGTAGGAGAGCCTATAGTTGGGCACTAAAACCCTTTTTAAGAAAGAGGACAGGAGTAGTAGATAGTGAATGACACAGTGTGGCTGTAATACAAAGCAAGAAACAGTGTATTTCTGATACTAGACTGTACAGGGGAGGGAAACGGGGACCTCATGATTAAGATCCTTCTCACCCAACAAATGACCATTGCCTTTAATGTATGAACATATATATGTAACTTAAAAACACTAGTGAAAAGTGTTCTTTAAGTCAGATACATGTTTTCTGTATGCATGTAGAAATGGGAATAACCCATAATATGGCAGGAAAATTAAGATTAATATATAGTAAGCCTTTAAAAAATTTATAATAATATAATTTTTCATAAAATATTCTCTAAGTTAGGATACAGAATGCATTTACCTTTTATGATTTGGTACAGTAGCTTATGTATCAAGTAAAACACCAAAATTTTTGATGAACTGGATACAGTAGGCAGCTTCTCAAATATTCTAGCATAGACAACATGAGGCTTCCTGGTTTGCTCAAATCCGGTACATTGCATATCCTAGCTTATATAAATAGATGTATACATGGTTTAAATGTCTCTGTGTTTGCACACCTGGTTGAGAGACTCTCAAAATTGTATTGAGGCCCAGTTTTATATTCAGTCTTGTTTAAGATAATATCAAAATTGAAACTTATATGTATATTTAGTTTATGTACATGGCCTTTTTATAGTTCTGTTGCAGAGATCTGTGAAATTGTTAAAGGTACAGGCATACCTTGTTTTATTGTACTTTATTGCACTTTGCAGATGTTGCATTTTTTTTATAAATTAAAGGTTTATGGCAACCCTGTCTTGAGCAACTCTGTCAGCACCATTTTCCAACAGTATTTGCTTACTCTGTGTCTCTATGTCACACTTGGGTAATTCAAACTTCAAACTTTTTCATCATTATTATATTTGTTATGGTGATCTGTGCTCAGTGATAATGACTCATTGAAAGCTCAAATGATGGTTAGCATTTTTTAGCAATAAAATATTTTTAAAATTAAGGTATGTACATTGTTTTTTTTTAAGACATACTGTATTACAAACTTGAACTACAGTATAATGTAATCATAACTTTTATATACACTGGGAAACCAAAAAATTCATTTGACTTGCTTTATTGTGATACTCACTTTATTGCAGTGTACTGAAACCAGATCCGCGGTATCTCTGAGGTATGTCTGTATTTTCCTTTGTATGTGTAAAGTTTGAATCTTTAAAAATATTCTTGAATATTCTTCTTTCTTTGGGAAAATAAAAACAAAAAGGATACGCAGCCCTGTATCTTGTGTTTTATTTGTATAGCATATTATAAGAAGTTCTTGTGGTTAATGTTTTCTGCAGGAATTTGTCAATCTCTATTCTGACTACATTCTCAATAAATCAGTAGAAAAACAGTTCAAAGCCTTTCGGAGAGGTTTTCATATGGTGACCAATGAATCTCCCTTAAAGTATTTATTCAGACCAGAGGAAATTGAATTGCTTATATGTGGAAGCCGGGTAAGAAAGCAAAATGTCTGCAAAAATATCCTATTAATTTATTGTTTGTAATGGTGTGGTATATATGTTAAGACATATTTTCTTGAATTTGCAGAATCTAGATTTCCAAGCACTAGAAGAAACTACGGAATATGACGGTGGCTATACCAGGGACTCTGTTCTGATTAGGTGAGGTGCTTAATTCTTAAAAGGAAGGTTTAATTCAGGAAAGGGGTGTGTAGTTTATGCTTTAGACCTTCATCTCTAGGTATTACTTACCAAATAAGCAAACTCACAGATTCTCAATCTATTATATTAGAAGTATATTTGTAATATAATCACCACTTTTTACTGTTAATGATTTATTTCTTCAGTGAAGTGTTTTATGTAAGTCACATGTTTAATTCTGCATTTGGGATATAAATTATCTAATATTCCTAGTGATTCTGATTAGCATGTGCTTACTGCTGGTTAGAAAATGATGAAAACAGAGCTACCATCTCTGAATATTCCTCCTTTCTTTTGAACTCTCTGTTTGTGAACTGTTACTCTCTACCCTAAATGAAGCACCTTTTGTGTGAAATGTTATTTTATTTTATCTTGATGATCACATGCCAAGATACATTAGTATTTGTTTTTCCCCTGAAGAAACTGAGCCCCAGATTTTCACAGAAAAAGGCAGTGATTCCCAGTCTTTGCTGCTTCCAAACAAATGCTGTTCCTACCATACTGTCTCCTTTTCTGTACTACACTATTCAATCTTAAAAGACATAGGCTTCTTCCTCCCTTGTGGAGATTGGTAAAAGGGGACAAAGATGCTTTTTAGGTGCCCACTGGTGGGATAAGGTGAAAGGAATGCAAACATAACTCCTGGAGTTGTCTCTGAAGGTTATTGCTCTAAGACATGAACACCAGAATGAGTATCAACTGTAACTAGAGATGAGTAATACTTTATGTTGTTTTATATTATGTTACATTATTTTCTTCTGTTACCTATTTTGTTCTTCATCCTGGTGTGTAGGAGGTTACTGGCATTTCCTCTTTTTAAAAAGTACACCCTAACTCATTTCTAGTAGCAATCTTGAACTTACTTATTCTAAGCAACCATTATTATGCTACTTACCTGAAGTTCCAAAATTGACACATGAAAGTGTTAAGAACATGATAAAGAAAACCCCACTTGTGAGTCACAAGGAATTCACAGATTGGATTTTGTAGCCTCTTAAGTTTCCCTGAGAATAGTTGGAAGTATTTTGTGTGTTCTTTATGGAGAAATTTTTTTTTAAATTAAAGTTTTAATTTTATTTCTAGCTTATAATTCTTACTTGATATATATCTTAAGATCATATGTTAATGTATAATTTGAAAGGCAAGTGAAAAGACAGAGTTATAGTAGCTTCCAAATCATTCTCATTGTTAATGGTATTCTAAAAATCTTTTTAAACAAAATTCAAACTTCTTATTTTGTCAACATATATATGAAAATATTAATTCATTAAATAGAATCTACAACTAGTAGAAAGTTGGAGACTTGGAGTAGTTATTGTAATACCAGGGAAAAATTGGCAATATTGGTATCTTGTTTGGTATTTATTTCATTTAAAGTATTCAGAATTCATTGAAGTGAAATGAATAAAAAACTTTGAAACTGTATAATACATTTCAACTAAAAATTAGTAACATAACATTTGGTGTAATACAAAATACCAATAGAAATATTTGTTTTTAATATTAAAAATAATTCTTATACAACTTTTACCACTAATAAAGTTAATGAAAATAAATTACTCAGAAAATAACTATATGTAAAACGTGAACATTTAAAGTCTAGCATTAATAAAAATAAAGTGAGAAAACGTTGACTGTCAAGCAAGTTTTTGTGTATGTTTTCCAGTTGCCGATAAAGCTGTCCCTGATTTCATTTGACTACTAAGAGACTTAGAAGTATCTTTTTATTTTTTTATTGTATTTTTTTTCTAAAGATTTTATTTATTTGAGAGAGAGAGAGAGCACAAGCAGGGGGAGGGGCGGAGGGAGAGGGAGAAGCATGCTCCCCGCTGAGTAGGGAGCCTGATGTGGGACTCGATAACAGGACCCCAGGATCATGACCTGAGCCGAAGGCAGACACCTAACTGACTGAGCCACCCAGGCACCTCAGAAGTATCTCTTTCTTTTAAAGATTTTATTTATTTGACAGAGAGAGACAGCGAGAGAGGGAACACGAGTAGGGGGAGTGGGAGAGGGAGAAGCAAGCTTCCCGTGGAGCAGGGAACCCTGGGATCATGACCTGAGCCGAAGGCAGACGCTTAACAGACTGAGCCACCCAGGTGCGCCCCCGCTCCCACCCCGAAGTATCTTTTTAAATGGTCCTCATTAGTGTTTTTGGGTGAGAGGCAGGGACTGCAGTTTCTTTTTAGCTGGTAGTGAATTTCTGTTTAAAGGCTTGGTCAAATTCAGATTTGATTATCCTCTCCTTACAGTTAATGTGATTCATTTCATTTAATTTTTCAATACTATGTCAGCCTTTTAATTCTAGATAAGCCTAACTTTGCTGCGGCCTGTTAGTTTTTAAATATGTTGCTCTGTTAACATTTTGTTAAGATTTTTTTTTTTTGATCTCTATTCATGAGGAATATTGACCTGTAATTTCCTTTTTTTATACACATCAGGTTTTTGCTGTCCTTATACAGTGAGTTGAAAAGAGTATTGTTCCTCATTTTCAAAAATACTTGAGTAAGATTGGTAATTTTTTCTCTTAAATATTTGCTCAAATTCACCAATGAGACTATCTGGGCCTGGACATTTCTTTGTTGGAGAGTATTTTGTTTTGGGGGTTTTTTTAATTTTATTTTGAAATAACTATAGATTTATTGGAATTTTCTTTTACAATACAGGTTGGAGGGGCGCCTGGGTGGCTGTCAGTCTAGCATCTGCCTTCGGCTCGGGTCATGATCTCAGGTTCCTAGGATCGAGTTCCACGTTGGGCTCTCTGCTCAGCAGGGAACTTCTTCTCCCTCTCCCTCTCTGCCTGCCTGCCCCACCCCCGCAAATAAATAAAATCTTAAAAAAATATATACTACGGGTTGGTCCAGTGTACCCTCCATCCACGTTCCCACAGTGGTAACATTTTTCATTACTGTAGCACAGTATCAAATTCAGGAAACTGATATTGATTCAATCTATAGACTGTATTCAGATTTCATCAGTTTTTCACGCACTTATTTATGTGTATGTGTAGTTCTGTGTACTTTCATCACATTATATAGATTTGCATAACCAGTATTATAATCATTGTGTACAGCTTTTTCATCACCAGAAGGGTCCCTGTTGCTATCCCTTTGTAGGCATACTCATACTCCTCCAGCATGATTCTCTGGAGATCTATCAAAGTTGTTATATGTATCAGTAGCTCATTCCTTTTTATTGCTGCCTTTCATGACATAGATGTACTATATTTGGTTTAACCATTCAGCTGTTAAAGGACACTTGGGATGTTGTCAGTATTTGGCTATTAGAAATAAAGCTACTAAACATTTAAGCAAAGATTTTTGCAAGAACATATATTTTCATTTCTCTGGTGTAAATGCTCAGTAGTGCAATCCTGGGTCATATGACAAGTGCATGTTTAGTTTTTTAAGAAACTGCCAAACTGTTTTCCAGAGTTGCTGTACCATTTTATATTTCCCTGGGGAATATATGAGTGCTCCAATTTCTCCATATCATTGCCAGCATTTGGTGGTGTCAAAATTGTTAGCTTTATCTGTTCTGCTAGGTATGTTGTAATACCTCATTGTGCTGTAATTTGAATTACCCTTGATTGCAGTGATGTGGAATATCTTTTCATTTACTTATTTGTCATCTGTATATTGTTTTTGGTGAAATGTCTTTTTTTGTTGAATTTTGAGTTCTTCATATCTTCTAGTCCTTTTTGTGGTGGATGGTTTGCAAATACGTTCTACTCTTGTGGCTAATCTTTTCATCTTAACAGAATATTTTACATGGCAGAAGTTTTCAGTTTTGATGAGCTTTGATTTTTCCTTTTATGGATCATGTTTTTGGTAAAGTAAGATGCAAAAGATATATACACCTAAGGCCAGCCTTAGGTCCTGAAGATTCATATTCTCTCTCACTCTCTCTCTCCCCCTCTTTGTCTCTCTTTTCCTAAAATTTTTATAGTTTTACATTGAAGTCTTGGTCCATTTTGAGTTGATTTTTATATAATAATGAGATTTAAGTCAAGATTCACTTTTTTGCCTATGGATGTCCATTTGTTCCCATATAATTTATTGAAAAGGCTATCCTTTACTGAATTGCTTTTGCATTGCATCTTTGTCAAAAATCAGTTCATAATGTTTGTGTGAATCTTTCCTGAATTCCCCGTGGTCTTCCCTTGATCTGTGTGCCTCTCCATCTCTCTGCCAATACTGCACTGTCTTTATTAGTACAGTTAATTGGTAAGCATTAACATGAGATAGAGTGCTTACTCCCTTTTTAAATGGAAGATTTCTTGCCTTTTCCATATTTTAGCTACTCTTTGCTTTAACATACAAAGTTTGTATTCACTTTGTCTATGCCTACAAAAAAACCTTGATGAAATTTTGATAGGAATTACACTAAGATCAAATTGGGGAGAATTGGCATTTTTATTATGTTGACTCTTCCAACCTATGAATACAGTATAGCTCCCCGTTTATTTAGGTCTCTCTTTTTTTTTTTATTCCTTTCATCAGCATTGTAATTCTCAGCATATAGATTCTATATGTGTTTTGTTTGATTTATACATAAGTATGTGATTTCCTTTGCAGTGATTGTAAATGGTATTGTATTTTTATTTTTTTAATGGCATTGTATTTTTATTTTGGTTTCCACATTTTGTTAGTCTATAGAAATGTGATTGATTTTTTTTTTTTTTTATATGTTGACCTATATCTTGTGACCTGGCTGAACTCACTTATTTTAGAAAGTTTTTTGGTTTTTTGTTTTTTTTTGAGACATCTTGGGGTTTTATGTATAGACAATCATGTATTCTGTAAATAGGGATAGTTATGCTTTTTAAATTTGTATGCCTTTTTTTTTTCTGCCATATTATGCTGGCTAGAACTTTTAGCACTGTGCTGAATAAGAGTAGTAAAAGCAAAAGCCTTGACTTGTTTCCGTGTAGTGTTCTCTCTACAAATTCAAGGAGGTTC